AAGGGCGATAATAGCTCCTCGTGTTCTCTGAGGTTTCCGTGTCGTCTGGCATGTCAGCCATATGGCAACACCTAGTGGAGGGGGGTTATGAGGATACTCTTACCAACCTTCCCGACATATCACAGTGTATACGTATCATTCGAAGTCGTCCATCTCACCCTGCACCGATTGGTGCGTGTGTACAGTAGAAGTAACCAGTGATATTAAAGAAAAGGGTGAGACTGATAGTGGAACGCCAATATACGGCACTCAATGAAACATATCGTATTTTTCGGCTTGGAAGACACTGCATCATGGAAGACGCACCCTGATTTTGGAAATTAAATTCTATTTTTTTTTTATGGGTATTAGCCCACCTGGGCACAGGTCACTGACCCACATCGGGGCCAAAAATGTAATAATAATAATAATAATAATAATAATAATAATAATAATGTAGAACCATAAAGAAATAAAAAAAATTAAAAAATCAAGAGTGAGAAACAATATATGTATGTTGTGTTGTCAAAGCAATTGAAACAATTGAGACCCTGCAATTGTGCATAAATGTGGCAGAAAGTCAGATCAGCAACCTGGGACTTAGTCACAATTTTTGTGATGCCATATGGCAGCAGGGTCTACCAATATCTTCCCAGGCAGTAGTACCCGGTACCTCCCTACTACCGACACCAGTGAAAGCGTTGCTTGATAATTCTACAGCCCTTTTGGCACAAGTACACACACCTCTTTGAATATCATCACTTAGAACTGCTTATCAGTCGTCATTTTCATCAATTTAAAAAAATCAGTATAAGAAGGTGAAGTCTTTAATACAGCACTCATTTTATACACCTGGTCACCTCCACATCTTAGGGGCTGTAGTGTTTACATTCTTTCTCTCATTTTTGTCGGTATTGTATAGATATGGAAATACCAAGATATGTGAACACGCCTGACGCCAAGACTCTGTTACCATTCATTGTACCATTTATTCACATGTCTGTATTACTACATATTATTATAGCATGTCTGATATCTATGCTTATGTCTAATGCCTATGTTCACTTACTATGTCCCGATGTACTATGTCTGTACCGCGCTAGTCAAGTAACTAGAAGACCTCATTTATTGTCCTAGTAATGTCTAGCAACTCTCCTTGCCTAGCTAGCTAACTTCCCTCAGATCAGCTTCGGCCTGGCTACGACACGGAGTCCTTTTTGCTTGTCCCTGTTTTTCTGTACCTGTTGGTTATCCTGCCAAGGCTTGTACTACTTATGGAATATATCTACTGCTCGTGCCCTGGAGTTTCAAGAACCTTGTTTAGGATTGCATCCCACCACATGGCGCACTGAGTAGCTCCAACACGACAGTTGACAAGTCTCAAGAGCCGGCCTCGTCTGTTTCCCACCCAGAAGATATACTCTACAGTGCCCCTGGATTTAAAGTGCTTTGTGACCTTGTGAAGTGCAGTGCCTTTGATGTCTGTTTTGCTATGTTTCTGGGGCCCTACAGGTAGCAGAAACCCTTTCAGCCCAGTTTCCAAAACAGCACTTCACGCATACATCCTCCGTCTGAGCCGGCCCGCAAGCCACTGGCCCACCCCCCCCCCTCGACTGAGCCATCACCGACATCTCGCCCGGGCGCGGAGTAATACAGAGACCAGCATCACCGCCGCCAGCCGCCTCCACCCAACTTCACAAATATTACAGTCAATACTCTTTTACTTGCCCGCCAGTTCCTGCACTTAGGCAAGTACATTGATGAAAACATAGCACTTCACCTTATTCTCCTTGTCTTTCCCATCGCAACCATACCAAACACGAGATGTCCAACTACGACGATTTGCTGGGGAATTCAAATGAGGATTATGAGGAAGACGAAGCCTCACACTCCGGACGCGCCAAATTCAAAGGATGGGAGCCAGGATATACGTCAGTTAATTCACTTCCTACAAGTTTCCCAAGAGAAGGAAGCCCAAAGGCATCAATTAGAGGAGGAAAAACGACGTCAAGAGGAATTGTCAAGACAGTCGGAGGAATCAGCTTACCGTCTTCAACTCCAACAACAACAACAAGCTGATAACCGCAAATTCCTGGAACTATTGGAATTGCTGGCAACGAGGACGACTTCACCAGCTGCCACAACCAATTCGCCAGCTTCAGCCTCAACTTTCGGAAGTATTTCGTATGAATCCACTGAATGAAAATAAAACTCTCTTTTTTCCCTTTCTGGTTTATTTTGTATTTTGAGTATGTTCCCAAAATGGGAACGTTGGACACTTCCGGAGTACATTCATGATATTATCATATATATATATATACACCTAGACCCCGACTTACGACGGGGTTAGGGACCCAAATCCAGGTCGTAAGTCCGACATGGTCGTAAGTCCGACATAGATATAAAAAAAAAAAAAAATTTAAATAAATAATCTACAATGAAATACAGTACAGTAAAAGTAGTGAACAATAAGGAATGGTTACAGTGTGACTGAGCACTTACCTTTAATATAGTCAGCTGAATGCACATGGGGCCCCCATAATTTTCTAATTATACATGGAGACTACATTAACTGGAAACATTTCGGTATAGAAAATGCGTGTCATTTGAAAAAAAACAAAAAAAAATCTGCGGCCGTCGTAAGTCGGAGTATGTATATATATATATATATATATATATATATATATATATATATATATATATATATATATATATATATATATATATATATATATATATATATATATATATATATATATATATATATATATAATCAGTATTATCAAAATAAGCAATTACACTCAAATCCTGAAAAGTAGTTTGACAATCATTTCTCCTTCACCCCCATTCTAATTCCCATCATCATTATCATCATCATCATCATCATCCAGGAGCCTTCTACATACACACCTCAAAGTAAGTGTACTTTTCTACCTTTTTTGTTGAATTTAGGCAATTTTCGGTGAGCTGGAACCAACTACCCAAAAATCCATTGAAACAATGGTTTCGGTTAACGAGTTTTTCGGTTAACGAGCAACCTGCTGGAACGGATTGTGCTCGTTAAGAGGGACCACTGTATGTGGAATATTGCAGTGTACTTGTACTGTACAATATTGACTAATTTCACTAGATAACGTACACAACTAATGAAACACAGAGGTTAAGAAGGCCAATAACATAATGTCTACATTAGCTAATATATTGTAGTAAAAAAATACAGGTATAATATACATACAGTAAAACAGGTACAGTGCTGTATAGTAAAGTAAAGTTAAACACTACACCGTTCACTGATCGAGAGGTAGATGCAGTATCGTATCCTTAAATCTGATGAACTTTTCTTATTTCTATATACTACATACTGTACAGTAAATTAAAATTAAGAATTAAATTTTAAAATTATTTAATGTGTTACACCTTTTAAATTTAATTATATGTTCCACTTAATTAAATCTTGCATTTTTGGTTGATATTTTTTACTTTTTAATTTATTTACACATTTTACATTTTTTTAAATGTTTCACTTTGAAAATTAAATTTTATATTTCACTTATTTAATCTTGCATTTTCATTTCAAGGACACCTTCTTAACCTTTTAATTTTATTTCACTTAATTATACACTTTACATATACAGTATTAGACAATTTTTAAGCCATTCCTGGATCATCAGCTTCACTGTCACTGCTATCAATTCCATAAAAAGGTTCCTGAGTTGCAGCTTCTATGACGATATAATAATAATAATAATAATAGTGTAATAATAATTAACGGTTTATTGAAAGAACTTGGCAGCCAGAAGGCTGAAAATAAACAGTTACATATTTGGGGAATGGGTTACGAATTACAAATAATATACAAGTAACATACGTGATACAAGTAAGATATATAATAACTAGATGGGGAAAAGCTCAAACTACAGTGCATTTCAACATAGTGACAGTGCAAGAAGTAGTATTTACTGGGAGTGAATACACTGGTTTATTACAAGTTATTGATAATTTTTGCAATGGTTGGGACTGGGCTGTTCTTATAGCGATCAGTTCGTGCACGTATGGGCTGGATGCGGTTGTGGTGTCGAACAGCAATTCTCGGGCTAGGGATCTCAGGTGGTAGTAGGAGCCGGTGTCGAGGATGGTGTAGAAGCTCTTACCAAATTTGCAGATGAGGTCGTGGTGATGGTCAGTGAGAGTCGAAAGGGTCAGTGTGTTGAGCGCTTCTTGATATGTGAAGTAGGAAGGGGAGAGAATAATCTTGCATGCCCTCTTTTGCACTTTTTCTAGGTGTTTATGTTGTGTGGCATTTAGGGAGGAAGACCAGGTGGGGGAGGCATAGGTGAGCTTGGGAAGTATGAATGTTGTGTAAACACTGAGGAGCTCGGGTGCAGGAACTCCGAGGGACTTGAGTCGGCGGAGGAGGTGGAGATGGAACTGGAGGATTTGACAACTTCACTGATGTGTGGTTTCCAATTTAGTTTGTTGTCTATGGTGACGCCGAGGAGCTTCGTAGAATCTACAACTTGGAGTGTGTTCGGACCTAAAGTAATGGAAGGAGGTGGGACAATGTCGGAGGAGAGGTTGATGTGCATAACCATGGTCTTGGTATGGTTGATGGTGGCCCAGTTTTGGAGACTGTTCAATAAATCCTGAAGGGCGGTATATTTGGGAGCAGAATTGTTGACGCTGATCCCAATGGTGGAGTCGTCGACATATTTCCAGCGAGAAGGGGGTTTCTCTTAGGGCATCATTGATGAGCATAAGGAAGCAGAGTGGTCCCATCTTGGTGCCTTGGGGGACGCCACAGGTGAGTGACTGAAAGGTGGAGACAGCCCCTCGGAAGCGTACAGCTTGGAGTCGGTCACTGAGGAAGCCTGTAAGCCATGGTTTAAGACTTCTCCGAAGCCCGAGGTCAATAGCTTTGTTGATGATTATATTGTGGTCGACTAGGTCGAATGCTTTAGTGAAATCAATGAAGGCGACAGCTACAGACGTTTTTCGTTTCTCGAGATGATGGTATATGTAATCGAGAAAGCTGACAAGACAGTGAGTGGTGGAGGAAGTTTTCATGTTGCCAAATTGCTGAGGGTCTACGACTCATCTGTTGCGTGTGAAGGGCCTGGCTAAGGTTTGTCGTGGGGTGGAGTTGGTTTTTTTGATGAAAATGTCAAGGGTTGTTTGTTTTGTCAGCGGTTTCTTCTCCTCGTAGATTTGACGATATGCGGCAAACACCGCATGTGCATTCCTCTCTATGAGTGAGAAGCGTTCAGTGTTGGGGTCCATCTCTTCGGCACTTTTCAGCAGAGTGTTAAGGTCGGCGAAGAATTTAGATAACCCCTTTACAGTGAACTTCTTCTCCTCCACCACCACCTCCTCCTCCTCACTTTCCTTTTCCCTTGCCTCTTCTTCAGCTATCCAATGTTGCTGTAACTCTAACAACTCTTCGTTGGTTAGTTCTTCAGGAACAACCTCTAGCAGTTCTTCTATATCGTCGTCGTCCACGCCGAGGTTCAGCTTGTTTGCCATCTTCACAAGATTGGTCATAATTTTCTCAAGTTCTGTGACCGTTTCAAAACCCCTGAAATGGTTCACATATCTCTTCAGGACTTTTTTCCACACTCCGTTCATACAATGCTTTGTGACATCATCCCAGGCCCAAGCAATGTTCTTGATGCAGTGGTACATGTTATATTCTTTCCAAAACTCCTTCAGTGTCTTCTCGTCATCCTCCGTTGCAGAAATAGCCATTGCAAAGGTCCTCCTGAGATAGTAGGACTTGAAAGCTGCAATAGCCCCTTGATCCATAGGCTGAATCAAAGAGGTGGTATTCGGCGGCAGGAAAACCACTTTGATGTTGGGGTGAAGGTCACCAATGAAGGGGGGGTGACCTAGAGCATTGTCCAAAATCAACAAAATTTTGAACTCTATCCCTTCTTCTATGCAGTATTTTTCGAGGTCACCAGCATAGCAGTTGAGAAGGGCATCCTGGAACAATGCTTGCGTCATCCATGACTTTTGGTTGGCTCTATAATACACTGGCAACGTATGTTTGTTGATATTTTTAAAAGCCTTGGGGTTCTCGCTATGCCACACCACAAAAGGTTTCAACTTGAATCCAGTAACACTCCCGCCCAACATCACAGTCACTCGATCCTTGAATGCCTTAAAGCCTGGCATCGACTTGGCCTCCTTGTGTATGAATGACCTTTCGGGCATCCTCTTCCAAAACAAGGAGGTTTCGTCCATATTAATTATTTGCTGGGGCAAATATCCTCCCTTGACGATAAGCTTGTCCAAGGTATTGATGAATTCTGCTGCCGCTGTAGAATCCGCACTCGCCGACTCGCCGCTGACTTTCAAGTTATGAAGCCCATAGCGATGTTTAAAGCGCTTGAACCAGCCAGAGCTTGCGGAAAACTCTTTGTCGTAGTCGGCTCCCGCTTGTTGCTTCAACATCTCGAACAAACTTTTTGCTTTGGCCGTGATGGTTAGTGTGCCGAGTGGGACTCGCTTTTGAGTCTGGTCTTCAATCCAGGTCACCAGCATCTTTTCCATATTTGATATCGGCCCCTCTCGAAACTTGGTTAATCTTGTTGCCTTCATTGAAGCCGATCCTTTTACCGCTTCAAGAATCTTCTCTCTCTTTTTCATTATCGTCGTGATCGTAGAGTGCGACATGCCGAAATCACGTGCGATAGCATTCACAGATTTGCCGCCATCACGCTGTCTTATTATTTTCAACTTCTCCTCCAAATCAATGCTCTTGCGTTGTTTCTTGCTGCTGCTACCACTAGGGCTGGTTGCGCTGCATTTGGGACCCAGACTGGATGCTGATGATGCTGCGGCACTGCCGACGAGGCAAAACCAAGCATACACTGTTATACAGTTTGTAAACTTGTATTTCGTAAGTAAGGAAATCAAATTAGAAGTACAGTGGGGTATGCTATAATGAATCTAATTGGTTCTAGAACCTTGTTCGTTATAGCATTCGTTCGGTATAGGATTAATCCGTTCCAGGCCCCCAAATACAACCACTTAACACTGAAAAATATAATATTAAATTGTAAAAATTGTAAAAAGTGCATAAATATGCATCTAAACCCTTGAAATAAAGAATATCATTAATACTTGTAATACAGAAACAATAAATTAGTAAAAAAAAAAAAAAAATTATAATGTTTGTTGTAGGAGTTTTGTTCGTTATAGCATTATCAATTTTATAGGTAAAACCGTTCGTTATAGGAATATTCGTAGTAGGATCCGTTCGTTATAGCATACCCCACTGTACTGTACTGTACACTACAATAGCCAAAAAAACATAAACCAGTAACAAAGGCATTTCTTATATTGTTCAGTGGTCCCTCAGTTAACGAATTACCTTCCATAAGAATCTTCAATTCGGTTAACGAAAAAATTTTATTTACGAAATCCTTACGGAAATCACATTTTGTTTTGAACATCAACTGATAAGCTGAGGAGGTACACAGCCAATTCAGTGATCTCTTCTATGTTTACATTCAAATTAATCACTTTCTTATAAGAATTCCAGCAATGCAAATTAAATTCACCCCGGTCACTTCTATTAAATTTTATAAGCAAAAAACAAAAACTCAATCTAAAAGACATAAATTAACAATTAAATACTTCACACCACAGGCGCCAACTGTCAAACATGTCACTGTCACCCTTCCCTCCCCACCCCCCACCTTCCTGAGACGTTTGGGGAAAAGCACTAGGCTTACAGGTTTAATAATATATAATACCTCAGACTAAAGTTAGGAGAATATAATTTGCTTTGCTGAAATCCTTACAAGACAGCGAATAATTTGAATATAAACGTCATATATTTTGCACAAGAGATAAAATTAATCACCTGTATCACATTACAGTAGTGATTTACGAGTTCTAGTGTATATGTACGATATATATAGTGATTTAAGGGCAATTTAGGGGAATTTTAGGAGTGTTTCTGACATTATGCATTTTTGGCTTTACTTTGTACAGTATATACTTTTCTGTGAGCTGGAACCAATTACCCAATATCCCATTGAAACAATGGCTTCGGTTAACGAAATTTTCGGTTACCGTATATCTCAGCCTATAAGACGGAATTTGAACCTTCAAAAAATCAGCCCAAAATATGGGGTCGTCTTAAGCACCAGGTATAAAATTCTTACCTCTTAAATATTGTGGTTTAGCGTGTCAAGAGTGGTGATTGAGTACATCATAAACCACTCACAAGGTTCTACCACTAATTATTTTATACTGAAACTTACGTTTGGAAAGCTGGATTAAAATTAAGATTACCGGTACAGGTTGACTATCAAAAATCTGGCAACCTCGGGACCTGAGGAGTGCCGGATTTTCGAAAATGCCGGAAAACTGATGGTTATATTTGCTGTATAAGTTTAACAGAAAATGACTACCTGTACAGTCCTTTAAACAAAGAAAATTAAACACTAAATGAAAAGCAAATTAAATTTTATTATATGTGCTGTATACAGTATATTTAACAGAAAATGACTACCTGTACAGTCCTTTAAACAAAGAAAATTAAACACTAAATGAAAAGCAAATTAAATTTTATTATATGTGCTGTATACAGTATATTTAACAGAAAATTACTACCTGTACAGTCCTTTAAAAAAAAAAATTAAACACTAAATGAAAATCAAATGAAATTTTAATGTTTATCAGGCTAAACAGCAGATGGGCTGTCAGGATTATCATCTTTATCACTGACAGTGACAACATCCTCGGCAACAGGAACAGCTTCAACTTGTCTTGAAGTTGATGGCAGTGGATTATCAAGTGTGGACACTGCTGTTGCTTCTTCCTGCTTCCTAACTATTTTCTTGAATATATCGGGCAATGTCTGTTGCTTCATATACTTGGGTCTTTCTTTAATAAGTTTATCTTGGAGCAAGAAAACATTCATGATTTCTTGTTCACTTACAAAACTTCGTTGCTCTAGTCCAGCCAGCAGTTCAGTTGTCAACGTAATTAACCTGTCAATAGAGATTCTGTCTCTCACATCTTCCTCATTTTCTTCACTGCTTTCATCTTCATCACTACCTGTACAGGCATTTCTCTCCGGACTTTTAACCATATCTACAATTTCAGAATCAGTGTAATGATGAACTGTAGGCACATTATCATCAACATCCAACCATTCTGTTAAAACATCTTCATTTATCCTTGATGAAAGCTCCTTGGCATCAGGATTAGTTACATCTTTAACATAAGCAAGAAGTTCATGTATAAGTTGCTTTTCTTTGGAAACCCTAAACCCTGCAAAATCATTTTCTGTGTCTTCGTTAGAATGAGAAGTAAACATTAAACTTGGCCACAATTTATGCCATCCATTTTTCAGTGTTGATGTTTTAATAGACTTCCAAGCATTGGCAACACAGTACACTGCATCCTTAATGTTGAACTCTTTGATGAATTTCTGTACTGGGGTGCCTGAATTAACTGAACTCACTAGGCGCCTCATTAACAGGGATCGATACTTACACTTCATAGAACGTATGATACCATTGTCCTGTGGTTGAATTAGTGATGTGCAGTTGGGTGGGAGGTAGGCAACAAAAACATTATCTTTCACTAGAAGATCGGCTTTTGGATGTGCCGAACAATTGTCTAAAATAAGAAGTATCTTGCATTTAGGGTCTAGTCCAACTGAGTTACAGTGAGCCCTGGCCTCAGGAACAAAACATTTATGAAACCAATCCAATGTAATATCAGTGGTAACCCACCCCTTCTTGTTGGCACGGTATTGGACAGGAAACCGTATCATACCCTTAAAGACCCTCGGATGTAAACTTTTTCCGATAACAAGCAACTTACACCTATGGGTACCCGCAGCATTAGAGCAGCACATTACCGTGATGCGATCCTTAGAAGCTTTAAACCCCGATGGCGATTCTGCATCCTCAGTTGTCAGAGTTCTTTTTGGCGTACATCTCCAAAATAAGGCAGTCTCGTCAGCATTGTACACTTGTTCAGGACTTAAATGTTCATCACTAACAAACTTTGCAAATTCATCCACATAGACACTAGCTGCATCCTTCTCTGCTGAATGTTTTTCACCACATACTGCACGAAAATGTAAGCCATGTCGCGACTTGAAACGTTGCAGCCAACCTTCTGTATAGTCACACTTGTGTTGCAATCCCAGCTCTTCATGAAACACTTTGGCTTGTTCCTTTAATAAATTACCAGAAATTTCCACACCTTCACTTACACGAAGATTAAACCAGGTTATGAGAACTTGGTCTAGTTCCGCACTTTTTCCCTCCGACATTGACTTCCTTACAAACATTTTCCTTTTTGATCCACTGTCAGAAAAGAACTTGAGCAGTTTTTCTTTCTGTTTTTTAATATCATACACTGTTGAAGAGCCGATGCTGTATGTTTCACAAATGGTTCGCACAGACACGCCGCTATCAAGTTTTTTAAGCACTTCCACTTTCTCTGCGATCGACAACGCACGATGTTTACGTTTTACGCCACCGCTTTTCTTTGCTGAATCCATGATGGGGCTATACAGCAGCCAAGGCAGGAAATTTGAAAATGCGCTCCGAAATCCATGCCGGAAAACTGAAGGTTCCAGTTTATCGATTGGCGGATTTTTGCTGGTCAACCTGTATATTAAAATAATAAAAATGTACTATAAACCTGTCTAACATACCGTAAAATAACAACATATCCCGGTAATAAACACAACTATCATCACGCACTGCCCCCGCCATTTGCCAGTGCCGAGACAAGAAAGGGAAAGTGACTGTGACCGCTGTGGCTATTTTTAGCCCGTCTTTGTGTCCGAGGTGGTCAGTAATGCATATCTGTATATTTACTGATCATAATACTTATCTCCTATAAATAATTCATTTAAAATTTATTTTTTACAAAGAATATTCAGTAAATGACTGCGTTAATTATTGAAACTACCGACAGTGGGAAATTTAGGATGAGAATGAAGAACACGAAGGCAAGTCATCGGATTCGGAGTTTGGTCCTTAATGATCACCATAAATGTCAGGTCAACTTCACCTACCAGGTATAATGGTAGCCTCCCTTTTTTGTGAAACAAGTTTATAAAGTAAAGAAAATACTTGCAATGTGTTTAATATATTACAGTATATTATAAATAAAAAAATAAATGAACAAATAAATCGGTAAATCTATTTCAAGTAAATGGAAAATTTTTACTCACACCGACATTAGATCCAGTTAAATAACAAACGCTTAAGTGACGTCACTAGTGTTTACACTACACCAACCAGTAACATTTGATGCCATTACTTAAAGTGAATTGGCCTTATTTAAAAAAACCAAGGATGTGTAAACAGCACTGGTCAGTAAGCTCCCAATGGTAAGTGTCACATTTGGGGTACCGTCTTAAACAGTGAATAGAGCTCAAAACCTACTTTTTAAATGGAAAATTTTCGGGTCGTCTTATACACCCTGTCGCCTTGTAGGCCAAAATATATGGTAACGAACGACCTTCTGGAACGAAATATGTTCGTTAACCGAGGGGCCACTGTATCTATCAAAACATATTATGGATATACAGTCGGCCCTTCACATACGCGGGTTTAGCATTCACGGATTCGCAAATACGCGGATTGCCCCGCCAGAGGAATATTCTGTACATTGAAGTAATTGAAGTACATTCAACTTGCGCGCGGCACCGAACACAGGACACCGCCCGCTCCCGCAACCTCACACACACACACGCATAGCTCTCCCTCACTCAGTCAGTCTCGCTGTAACCACACTTGTGTTGACATCAACATTGTAGTTGCAAAAATATTACATTTCCGTGAATGTATTATATCAAGCACAGTATGAATAGAATATCACTAATATAAGAGTATTTTAACCGAAAACTACAAAAAAAACGAGTAACATATCTTGAACATCGGAAGGTTAGGTAAAGTCTCTTGTTTTCGTCATGTATTTTATCCTAATTTACATTGAAATACATCACGTTTCAGCAAAAGTACTATTTATTTCTGAGAATATGGAAATGTAATATTTTGCTGAAATGACGTACGTATTACAGTGGAAAGTGACGAAAGCAATGACTCGCTTTCTTTCGCTCAAAACATGTTACCGGAATTGCTTTTCGAATGGTTTTCAGTTAAAAAACTGTTGTATTACAATAATATTCTATCCTAATTCACTTGTGATGCAACAGTTTTTTAACTGAAAACCATTCGAAAATCGATTACGGTAACATCTTTTGAACGAAAGAAAGCAAAAGTCATTGTTTTCGTCACGATTTTGTCCCACATTCCACTGTAATACTTACGTCATTTAAGCAAAAATATTTCATTTCTGTGAATGTAGTATAACAAGCACAGTAGGACTATAATATCATTGTAATATAACAGTATTTTAACCGAAAACTATTAAAAAAACGAGTAACATCTCTTGAACATCGGAAGGTTAGGTGAAGTCTTTTGTTTTCGTCATGTATTTTATCCTATTTTACATTGAAATACATCACGTTTCAGCAAAACTACTATTTATTTCTGAGAATATATTCATTCAGGCGCAGTTTAGGTAAAATATACGTGTGATGTAACAGTTTTTTAACTGAAAACGATTCGAAAAACACGTACCCTCTAGCCCTGTTCAAGGAGAGGACTGGGAGAAGCTGTTTGGTGCTGCAGACGATGACAAGGAAAATGATTTGGATGGATTTTAATGAAAATATTCATAAATATGGTATCGTAGTATTTATTCAAGTCGATTAGGATAGAATATTATTGTAATGCAACAGTAGTGACGATGTGGAGGAGGCGGAGGGATAGAGCGGGGAGGAGGTGACTGGCGGGAGCAGGGACGAGTGGAGATGCCAGCCAGTACATTACGGGTGTATTAATTGTTTTTATAGCTATTTTTGCATTTTAATGTTAAATACTGTACATTACGTTTCAACAAAACTACCATTTATTTCTGAGAACATGGAAATGTAATATTTTTGCTGAAATGATGTACGTATTACAGTGGAAAGTGACGAAAGCAATGACTTTCTCTTTCTTTCGTTCAAAAGATGTTACCGTAATCGCTTTTCGAATGGTTTTCAGTTGTGGGATTATAAGGCTAATGATAGGATAAAATGTTATTGTAATACAGTACGAGTACAACAGTTTTTTAACTGAAAACCATTCGAAAAGCGATTACGGTAAAATATTTTGAACAACGAAAGAAAGCGAAAGTCTTTCGTCATGATTTTATCCCACCTCCCACTATAATATGTACGTCATTCCAGCAAAAATATTATATTTCCATATTTATTTCCGAGAATACCTATATTCATTCAGTCACAGTTAAGGTAAAATATACTTGTGATGTAATATTTTAATGAAAATCCAGTATCGTAGTTTTCTCGTTTCAAATTTAATTAACAAATATTGATGTTTCAAATGTAATGAAGAAAAATTTATGTCCAGTATCTATAAATTAACTTTAATAAATGAATACTTTGTTTTACATCGTCCTGTGCTACCATACCATGGATTTGGCTACTTTGGGCTCGCAAGAGATCTGCCCTGGCAACTGTACCGACACTCACAGCTGGTGGTGTGTTGGTGCATCGTTTCCATTGTTTACTGGTAGTTACTGGTAAATATTTTTCAACCTAACGAAACTATTACCCGTTTAGAGGTCGACCCCCAATTTTTGCCAAATAATTTGGTCTTAAAAACTCGAACTACACACAGGTATATACGGTAAATAAGGACATGGGGGGCCAGGGATTTTTTAGGGGGGGGCGGCAGCAATAGTACACGGATTTTTAACATTCACGGGTATCTCTGTTACCTAACCCCCGCGAATGTTAAGGGCCGACTGTATAGTTACAGTCGACCCTTGTTAATTCGGACTAATAGGGGGGGGAAGGGTGTCCGTTTTAGCCGATTGTCTGAATTAACTGATTTAGGGGTTAATATTGCATTATATTTCAAAGTCATTGTTTTCGTCACGATTTTATCCCACTTTCCACTGTAATACGTACGTAATTTCAGCAAAAATATTACATTTCCGTGAATGTATTATATCAAGCACAGTATGAATAGAATACCATTGTCATATAACAGTATTTTAACCAAAAACTACTAAATAAACGAATAACATCTCAAGAACATCGGAAGCTTAAGTAAAGTCTTTTGTTTTCATCATGTATTTTATCCTATTTTACATTGAAATACATCACGTTTCAGCAAAACTACTATTTATTTCCAAGAATATATTCATTCAGGCGCAGTTTAGGTAAAATATACGTGTGATGTAACAGTTTTTTAACTGAAAACGATTCGAAAAACACGTACCCTCTAGCCCTGTTCAAGGAGAGGACTGGGAGAAGCTGTTTGGTGCTGCAGACGATGACAAGGAAAACGATTTGGATGAATTTTAATGAAAATATTCAGAAATATGGTATCGTAGTATTTATTCAAGTCAATTAGGATAGAATATTATTGTAATACAACAGTTTTTTAACTGAAAACCAATCGAAAAGCGATTATGGTAACATCTTTTGAAGGAAAGAAAGCGAAAGTCATTGTTTTCGTCACGATTTTATCCCACTTTCCACTAATACCTACGTCATTTCAGCAAAAATATTACATTTCCGTGAATGCATTATATCAAGCACAGTATGAATAGAATACCATTGTAATATAACAGTATTTTAACCAAAAACTATTAAAAAAAACGAGTAACTTCTCTAGAACATCAGAAGGTTAGGTAAAGTCTTTTTTCATCATGTATTTTATCCTATTTTACATTAAAATACATCACGTTTCAGCAAAACTACTATTTATTTCCGAGAATATATTCATTCAGGCGCAGTTAAGGTAAATTATACATGTGATGTAACAGTTTTTTAACTGAAAGCGATTCGAAAAACACGTGTACCGTGTAGCTGATACTCAACAGCTGGTGGTGCGTCATGTGTCGTTGTAAACAATAGGAGGTTGAAGTAGATTACCGGGTATTATATTAAGTGTGAAATATCAAAAAGGTTTTTATTACCGGTATTTTTTGTAGATCAATGAGAACTGTAATACCGTATATGATATGATAAGTTAGCCTGTGCTAAGAACTTCAACATAGACTACTGAAAACACGTTGTAAGGTAATTTAGCCTATTGTAAGTTGGTGAGCTTCATTTGCTGAAGGAACTGCACAACTTTTCATTACTAACTGGTACAAATTTTACGTTTCCATTGTTTACTGGCAGTAAATGGTAAATATTTTTCATGTCTGAAGCTAAAAGTTGCATCCCTCCCCCACACTAGTGGTGATGTTACATTTGACCAAAAAGATGCTGGTGTTTTATCCCAGCAGTGGGTGGACCAGCATTTTAGCTTAAGGTCCGCATAGGTAATAATCCTACAAATCTTAAAAAAAAAAAAAAAGTTCGTTCAGATTTTGTCCGAATTAAAGGGGTCCGAATTAACGAGGGTCGACTGTACTGTATCATCATACGCCTGGCAGCACAATCTATTTTGTTTAAGAACACGTGATGCATTCGTGAGCGCGCCCGCTCTAAGGCCACTTACGTCCTTAACATCCCATTGTCTGAACGGGGTTTTTTTATCCCCATTATTTTCTTATTATATTTATGGGCCACGGACGTATATGAGATCGGACGTTGTTCGGACAGACGTAAAGCCGTGCATGACTGTGTGTGTGTGTGTGTGTGTGTGTGTGTGTATATATTCCTCTATGTATCCAACGCAAACTCATTCTGAATAATAGGTAATAAAACATTCGAAGTAGACGAAGACTCGAAACAATGAGCAGTGAAGCGGTTGGCCAACGTCGTAATGGAACAGTCCCAAGTCCAGGGGTGGTGAACCTATGGCACGCGTAAAACTTTTGTTGGCACGCGGCATGTACTGCTGCGTGATTCCTTTATCTGATATTTTGTTATCTTCTTCACTAGAGCCAAAAGCAGCACAGTGATGAGGCATTGTGAGAAGCACTGACAATCCTTCTCACTGCCTCTGCTCTAACTAACCTCCCCACAACTGACCTCATTCAGGTGATGGGTGACTGAGGTTATATTTGTCCTCTAACCCTGTAATTACATTGCTAGGTGAGGGCATGCACTCCCCCTCTCTCCACGATGACCCGACTGTAACCAGACCAATATGGCGGCCACTCACTCGCGAGGGCTTCACTCAGTGTGCCTCATTGCCGTCACCCCCTATATCAAACCTACTTGCATGGGACCCAATGGTAGCTAAGTATTCCCCTCCTCTCATGTGTGCAAAAAACAACTGATGGCTGCTGCCCCTATAGCTACCTTCTTTCTACTAATGATGATTGTCGTTTAAGATAAAAAAAATATATAAATTATTTCTTTTACTTACTTAGTTTTAGTGGCTTTCCTAGAAGATGGGTGATCTGGCTGTGAACTGGAAGAAGTGACAGGGGTCGTGACACAAGACAGTCCATCTACTTCTGGTGCAACATGTTCATCTTCAATCCTAACTTTGTCCACATCAATAAACTCTAACTCTTTCTCTTCTTTTACTACAGGGTCTTGGGCCACTGTGTCTGCTTCTTCCTCCACTATAAACTCTTGTGTCACTTCGACCTGAACATGGATTACAAAAACTTTACAAATACAGTACAAAAGAACCTCTTCCATAATAACTAAAACATTAAGTTACATTTTTGGGGTAAATGTGTAAAATAATGACCTCCTTATCACCACACAGATGAAAACATCCAACAGAGGAGCTGTGTTGGGTGCTGTTACTACTGCTCACACTGAGTGGCTTTCAAATTGATTCCTATCAGCCACTTAACCCTCTCAGCCTCGCATGACGCCATTGTGGAGTCAAACATAAAAGGCGAAAAAACTTACACTCGGCCTCACGTCTATATTTTCAAATAACTCAACACTATTCAGTGAAACTGATTGAACTTTGGACACCATTTGACAGAGTCATTTTCTTTCTGGGGGCCTTATTACCTTCCCCGAGATGGTCTTGGTGTGCATGGCAGCACGGCATGAAGCCAGTGTCGCTCTGGCCATTAGAGCGAGAGGAGGGTGTGCTGCTTGGCCCTTTAATTATTCCAAGAGTTTTGTGTTATATTATATTTCCTTATGCCACAATATTCTACACGCTTTATTCTTCATTTTGGTATATAGTCCATATCAATTAACACCTTAATACAAAGAAAATGTGAATGCAAATCGAGATGTTACTAAACATTTTCCTACTTTTTCAAATTGTACTTGAAAAAAGTGGCTTAAATTTCAAGAATTTTAAATTTTTTATAGTTTCAGACAATTTTACGCTATAAGAGACTCCATTACAATTAATAAAACAATCCCATACCAGTACAATGAGCCCTAAAAAAATAAAAGATTTTTTGGCAAAAACCTCCAAGGCTGAGCGTATGTTTTCATGCCGGTATGTCTCTCAGGCTCCGAGGCTAAGAGGGTTAAGTGTACAACTCAGGTCAGGAGTTTCCTTAAGGACAAAAGAGTAAAAATTAGTCTTCTGAATGATCAAACTCAAATATAAAACTTGGTCTCTCAATCTGGCTTTAGGATCAGAACAGAATCACAGTATGTAACTCAGCTTCATCCACCAGACATCAACTTTTCTAGTACATGATGTCCACAAATTCTCTAACCCAGTTTAAGTCTTAACCTAAAATATAATACAGGTAGAATAAGCTGGTTTTCCTATACTTCCACATTTGCACCAATTGTTGCTTCAAGTTATTAAGGTTGAAAATGGGTCAGATAATTTATAGGCAGCCAGTGTTTCATGCACAATACAGTTATATGACAGTCCTCAGGAACACAAAGAATTCCTCCATCAGTAAATCACCAGTAAGCACCATAAATCTTGTGTGTTTGTAAAAGGATTTATGACCGAGTGAAATATAGTATTGTACTAATACTGTACAGTCACCCACAAAAGTCCTGTGGCGAACCATGAACCCCGAGATTCAGATTCTTGAATCCGAAGCATTTATGGATAGAATAATGTATGTGTCTACTGCTTCGGGTTCACGAATCTGAATCTCGGGGTTCGTGGTTCGCAACAGGACTTTTTTGGGTGACTGTACAAGCAGTTGCATCATGCCGTCACTATGCTTCATCAATAAAATATTACCTGTCGACACTGGTAGTGCTTTATATTTTAGAAGGAGCTTCAACAATTAAGGATAAATCACCCCACAGTACAGGTACACCACCGATTTTCCGGGAACTGATAGTCCGGCATCTCTTTTAGTCTGGACAAAATTATGAGAGGGCACTTAACTTCCCTCCCTCCCTGCCATCTTTTATTACAAGTGCAAACAATGGGATGTTCATATTTTAATTAATCACTATCTTACAATAATTACACCAATGTAAGTCATATTCTGCCAAGTGAATTCAGTGATATTTTATAAGCGAAAAAATTTAACTCCCTCCATATGACTGTTAAATACACACTTGGTAACTGTCGCCCAGCTTTGTCAGCACCTCCCCTCACCCCCTCCTCTCAGCCAGGGTGAAGGTAGTTTTAGGCTTCAAGTTTTTATCTTATAAAATGTCACACACTCAACTTAGCAGAATATAACTTACATTGATGTAATTCTTGTAAGACAGTGATTAATTGAGTATACACATCACAATGTTTGCATGAGATTAAATTTGTAATCCTTTAGTGTTGTACATTTGAGTACAACTTGTGTACAGTATTATGTTGTTCAAAATTATGGCCTTTTCACATTTACTTAACATTTAATATTTGTTTAATTTAAGTGTCTATCAGTCCATTGTGCTTTAGAGACACAGGAGGTGTATAATTAGTGGGTCAGAGGTGTATTGTTGAGTTATTATTACCTTCCTTGGGTAGACATATGAATGATCGTGGTAAAATATTTATCCCAAAAATTTGGAATAAATAGCACAGACTTTAGAAATTCATTTCAGGCAACTCTCTTCCTCTCTGGTGAGTATAGGGAGGTAGAAACATGTCATCAGTTGGTTCTGGACCTTGTCAAGAAGACGAGGTGTGTACTCTGTTGCACCGCACATCTTACCTCCCTTGTACTGCTGTACCAGGCTTCTCTCCTCAAATATCAGGATGGCATGTGATTCAAAACATAAAAGACAATTAAAGGAAGCACAGGCCAAGAGCAATGCTAAAGCCAAGAGGAGGAAAGAAGAAATTATTCGCTAAAACAACGCAGTAACAGGTGTCTCAGGGGCCACCTGATGCAGCCCAGCCCCAGCCTTCCATCCCTCCCCTCAACCTCACGTAAAGAATATAACTGGAGTTCAGTTGGAGATATAAAAATACACAACAAAACAAGATATTACACGTAAAATCGGCTCAGAATGAGTACTTACACGGGAGAAATATTGAGAAGCTTTATCGGCCCGTATTTAAAATTAGCTCTTCCAAAACTCAGATTTGGAATTTCTCTGCCAGTTTTTTACCTATTTCAATGAAACAAACACCCAGCACAGGAAGAACCTTTCCTCAAAATAACTCCAGGGTCCAATTTTTTCTATCTTGTAAGATGTGTTTTTGGTTGAATATTTAATATCAGTATTTTGATGAAAATTTCAACCAAAGTTTAAATTTTTTATCCTTAAAACCAAAGACAAAAACACACAGTTCTCTCTGGACTGATCAATGAAAATACTAGATCTCTTAGCACTATCAATTTCAAGACAAAGTAGAAAGAAGTAATGGAGAAATTACACCTTGAAAATTGACAAATACGAGGAAATGTGTAAAGGATTGAAAAATTTTAAAGGGTAGAAGGGGCTAGAATTGATGTACACATGATCCTTGATTGATAACAGGAAGATCATAACAATAGACAGAAATTAAAAGCACCTACACCAAAAACAGGACCCTCCCTTTAGCAATAGGGCAAACAAATAGTGGCTCTGGCCTTGTTACACAAAAAATACAGGAATATGTGCTCATACTGTAGTGGCACACAGCAGCTAACTCTCCTGTAAGTTGCCAATAATATTCTCATTACTCTGTGTACAAGTATTCTCTCTCAAACACACAATTAAACAGTATGATTTAATTAATGTGGCTGGTCATTCAAATTGTTCACTGACTCAAACATTGTATAATAATTAATCTCTTCCCTGTTTTGTAAAGTCCAGGGTTAATGAACAATAACAGAGTACAGTACCAGAAATATTGGATGTTCTCAGGTTTGGGGTTTTGCTTTGCATTATCTTCACCTTTTTCAACTTTCTTACTCCAATCATCTGTATATCACCTCATGCTCTTTGTTAAGGATGGGTGAAAAATAACCTACACATTTTAAACCTGAGTAAAAATCTGCCATCATTAGCATACTACACAACATAATACACCACAGAGGAGACACTGTACACACATTATTTATACTGACACTTTTGCGTGTCATGTGCCTTATTTATCATTCACTCTGCATATACTGTACCATTACAAGGGCTACCATCAGCTCTAGTCTCTAATGCATTGCTAAGAGAAACACTATGTGCCTCACTCAAAAAGAAGCCCACACTATATTGTACCACTACATTGGCAGCATGTACAGTATTAAAAGTTAACTCATATAGACATAGAGCCCACAGACATCACAAAAATATCTGTTAGGCCCAAGATAACAACGTGTTGGTCCAGTAAATCCTATGAAAAACCGTAAGACGTGTCACCATCCAAAATAATCCGAACCTTCAATAGTCCAAAACACAGTAGCAAATATGAACTGGACTCAGTCTGAACACCTGCACAAAATTTTAACACAAATCTGCTTGTATCAACTAATCCATCAATCTGGATTTAAGATCACAGCAAACATTATTAGTCAATACTGTAGTTTTAAGTCACACATGAACACTAATATATTGTACTATATATATATATATACACTGTACTGTACAAGGGCAATTAGCTCACAAAATCATAGCAAAAATTCTAATAGAAAAGTATTTATTAAATGTATCTATCTTTTTTTTATGGGTAAAATATTTTCATAATTTATGAACTGTATTCCTATAAATACTGTACTGTACAGTACACAACTTGCATTACTTGGACCAGGGGTTATTTATTTCACACTTTTGGTCCATTTATAAGTAGAGTACTGTTATGTGACACAGAATTTGCATAAATCAAGGGCTTAATGTGCCCATCACACTGTAGAAATTACTAACCTCAAATTTGATGTCTTCCTGTTTTATGCCATTAGTAAATGGTGTCAGGGATGAGTGAGTGTTGGACTGGGGCAGATTTCTCTCTGTGTCCCAAGACCCTCGTGACCCGTTGTGGCTGTCAAGCGAGGCATCGAGAGAACTTATGGACTCTTCCTTTACGCCAAGTGCCTCCTCCATGACCACTCCAGGAGTCTACCAACCACATACAAAAATATACTTACATTCATGTTGTGTTATAATAAAATAAATATACATTACCGTACTTTACACTAATTAGTAAAACTCTACTTTCCTTTATACAGGTTCATATTGTGTTCACAAACCTGGTTCCTGATAAAAGAAAAATATGAGGATCTGATTCTAAGTTCTTCTTAAAATGTGAACCGTTAAGGTGAAAAATTAGTCCCCACAAAGTTACGGTTGTGGAAGCAAGGAGCAGCCATTACTGACACTGCCATCTGTTCTAGGTCAGCCAAATAAAACAATTTTCATGACCTCATATTAAAACATGGATCTTTATACAGAGAATGAACTAGTTTCCAACAAGGAAAATACAAAACATATGATTTATATAATGTGTAAAGATACTGATTATAGTAAGAAAACTTTCATAGTCTTATGGTAAGTTATGTAGAGACAAACAAGAAACATAGGGTGGAGGTAAGGTCCCAGCTCCCACCCATTATTTGTTTGGGACCACCAACAGTAAACCTGGCCATAAGAGAAAATTGTAACAAAAGAAAAAGTGCATAAACTTTTATCCAAATCATCCGTTCTAATGTTGGCAGAAAGATGAATTAGATAAATAAAACAAATAATGGAGGTATATTAAGGGAACAATTGATGCTCTGTTGTTCACTTGTAACAAATGATCCTTCACAGCCATGGTATATGTTATATAAATGAATATTTGGCAGCATAAGATCTACAAGACTGTTTCAACCCTTACGCCCCGGGCTAGGGTGGCGCCGGCCGTACCCCCAACGTGTGGAAAAACGAGAAAAATCAACTTTTAAAAAAATTATTTTTAACCTTTATAAATGATAAAACAATAAAAAAGACGCAATACAGACTATACATTGTCCCTCTATATTCTTCCACGGCGCCTCAGTGACGAGACAAATAAGGGGAAAGTTGTTTTTTACGTCTTGCGCTCACTGTCACCACGCACTTAGGGGTCATTTTCCCGCTTGCTTTTGTGTCCAAGATGGCCAGTAATGAATATATTTACTGATCATAATAATTATCTCCTATAAATAATAATTATTTTTTTTAAATTTTTTTTCATAAAAAACGCTTGGCGACACAGCAGTCTGTCGCCAGCTCTCTGGCTGTCTTTATGTTTGAAAGAACAAGTAATACATAAAATAATAATAATTCCACAAATTAATACGTTTAAAACATAATCATAGCATTATTTTCCAGTAATAATACACTACAATACAACTACACTACTTCTAGCAATATTACTTTGATACAACATGATAAAATAGACAAACAATGAAAATGAAACAAACAAAAGTAGGTAATTATGTTGAGGAAGCTTCCCTGTGGCCGAGCGTGTGGCGTGACAGACAAATAGTCAAACGGGAAACTGACAACCCGTTCTGGGCAGCTAAACAGTGGCGGGAAAAGGCACGCATTCTGGAACGTCACCCGGGGTGCGGTGCGCCAGTCGGACGTTCTGGAACGTCAATAAATATCCAGAAAAATATATTCAATAAGACATGACTTTTAAGATAAAAAATTTAACAATTGTAATCACGATAAAAATGCCATTGTATCACCAGAATGACCCTGAATAATTGTCTAAACCTCAGAAACAAAGAAAAACCACAATTTATATATGAAGGTGTGTTGCAAGTCACAGCTGAGACAAAGGAGGGGACAGAAAACACTGCTGACAGGCAGGACAAACAAAGTGCTGTTTATCTGCTACAGGTACACCACCGACCACTGATGGTCCGGCACCTCCTTTAGTCCCGACAAAATTATGAGAGACCAGTTAACTTCCCTCCCTCCCAGCCAAGGTGAAGACAGTGTAGACTTAAAGTTTTTATCTTATAAAATGTAACTGACTAAACTTAGCAGAATATAAATTTACATTGCTGGAATTCTTGTAAGATGGTGATTAATTTGAGTATAAACATCACACAGTTTGCACAAGAGATAAATTTTTAGTCTAGTGTAGTACATTTGTGTGTATGTACAGTAATGTTGCTCAAAATTATGGTCTTCTCACACTTAATTTACATATAATATTTGTTTAATTTAAGTGTCTAGCAGTCCATACACAGGGGGTGTATAATTAGTGGGTCAGAGGTGTATTGTTGAGTTATTATTACGTGACCTCGGTTGGTCCGGCAAAACGGAACCAAGGGTGCCGCAAAATGGGTGGTGGACCTGTACCCTCGGAACAGCCAGGATTGTGTCTCATTCATTTGCCGTTACAATATTTTAACTGAAGATGATGGACCAGAGTCAAAATTTCTACCCCCTGATGTTCCCCAACACGGCTGAAATAATGTCTGGGGTGTAGAGGAACAAAGCAGAACTTGTGTTCTGGGTCTACTTCCATATAGTTCTCTCTCCAGAGCTCACTAGTGGTGTAGATCTTAACAGCAGTGCTTCTTAACCTCAGGATTGCAACTCAAATTTATTAATATATTCATGTACAGTAATCCCTATTTATTTCATCACCATCTAATTAAATTTATTTCAAGTGAAATGAAGACGTGGGTCGCCGAGATATCCCCACCCCCATAATGTGGATCACAACAACAAAGGTTAAGAATTGCTGCTCTACAGGATATCATTACACATTCTTCTTAATTTCCATTTCACTCAAAATTTTCAACCCACAATAAACTATTCAAGTGAGACTATTAATGAAAGGGATAATTGAGATACAGTACAGGTAGTTTTAACCTCACCTGGTGGAACATGCTAGTACTTGTGGCAGCATTGGTTACCACATTTCCCAAATGTTCTTCAGCTGGCAGTTTTGATGCTGCTTCATCAACAGTCACATGTAACTTCTTGCTTAATGGTTCTGAAGACTGTGAGGAGAGTTGACCTGATTCCACATCACTTTGTATCCTCTTGGAAGAAGGCAGTTCTCTTCTTGTTGGAATTTTCCGTTTCTTTGATTTATTGCGTAACTGAAATAATATTTTCAAAATCATACTACAGGTACTGTAATGGTAATATAATTTGTACAACATTGATATTTATGAAACTGACAAACCTAACACACATTAATGTTCTTCATAGCCCTTCCCACTACTGGGTCTTACTCTCAAAATCAATGGTACAAGTCAATAAAAAAAGTGAATTATGCAGGAATATGTCACTTTTATTAAAAAACGTGGAGGACCCAGTACATTGGTCCCTTGGTTAACGAACACAATTCGTTCCAGAAAGTCGTTCGTTAACCGGAAATTTCGTTAACCAAATCCATTGTTTCAATGGGATATTGGGTAATTGGTTCCAGCTCACCAAAAAGTACATAAAAACTATAAAAAAAATGCAGTAAAGTACACTTACTTTGAGGTGTGTATGTAGAAGGTGCCTGGTTGATGCTGATGATGGGAATTACAAGTGGGGATGGAGGAGAAGGGAGAAGAGAAGGAAGTGGGGATGGAGGAGAAATCACCTTTCAGGGGACCCATGCTTGATGCCTCATTTCACCAATAAAATTTTAAGTTCACTCGGTGTAATTCAAGAATATTTTCTTTAAATCAACACTGCACTGCTCTATATATTATCAATATGTTGACTAAAGTTCAGAATGACCAATAATTTCAATGAAAAATGCAAAAATGTTCAAGACACCAACAAAATAGATGCTCTCTCCACTGTTTCAAAGTCTCAACTGACGCCTTGTGACCGACTCATGCATCTGATGGGCGCACAACAAATTAGTTTCCTGTACTGCATATATTATTATGTTAAATAAATGTTAAAATGACTAATAATTTTAATATAAAACATGCATAAATATTAAAGAACATAACTTTCTTGATATTTACTCCATTGGAAATGAATGTAAACACAGAAGAGATTACTGAATTGGCAGACTAGTCCATCAGCTGATGCTCACACCAAAATGTGTTTTGGTAAGGATTTCGTTAATCAATTTTTGTTCGTTAACCGAATTGAAGATTCTTAAGGAAGGTAATTCGTTAAACGAATTGAAGATTCTTATGTAAGGTAATTCGTTAACCGAAATTTTGTTAACCGATCAGTTCGTTAACCGAGGGAACACTGTACAATACTGTATTTAATGAAAGGGATAATTGAGATACAGTACAGTGGTCCCTCGGTTAAAGAACACAATTCGTTCCAGAAGGTCATTCGTTAACCGAAACCATTGTTTCAATGGGATTTTGGGTAATTGGTTCCAGCTCACCAAAAATTACATACAAAGTAAAAATATATGCAGTAAAGTACACTTACTTTGAGGTGTGTATGTAGAAGGCTCCTGGTTGATGATGATGATGATGGGAATTAGAAGTGGGGGTGGAGGAGAAGGGAGAAGAGAAGGAAGTGGGAGTGGAAGAGAAATCACCCCATGCTTCATGCCGTCATTTCACCCATAAAATTTTAAGTTCACTCGGTGTAATTCAAGATTATTTTCTTTAAATCAACACTGCACTGCACTGCACTATATATTGGCAATATGTAAAATAAATTTCAGAATAACCAATAATTCTACTGTAAAAACATAAAAATAGTTTATGTCCATGAGTGTCAAAAGCAAGATGTTACCTCCTCTGACCAGATACAAACTGACGCCATGCTGGGTGAGTCAAGTGGCTGATTGGCGCACTAAAGACTAGTTTCCTGTACTGCAATTATGTTAAATATGTGCTAAAATTATTAAAAATTTTAATAAAAAACTTGGAAATTTTTTGAATTGTACAACCTTCTTGATATTTACCCCAATTTTAACGAATGTAAGCCCTAGAACCGATTTCTGTATTGGCGGACTAATCTCCCAGCTGGTGAGCAAGCCAAAGCATGACGAAACATTTTCATAAAAATTTCGTTAACCGAATTTAATATTCTTATGGAAGGTAATTCGTTAACCGAAATTTAGTTAGCTGAGGCGTTCGTTAACTGAGGGACCACTGTACAGGTAGTTTTAACCTCACCTGGTAGGACATGCTAGTACTTGTGGCAGCATTGGTTACCACATTTCCCAAATGTTCTTCAGCTGGCAGTTTTGATGCTGCTTCATCAACAGTCACATGTAACTTCTTGCTGAATGGTTCTGAAGACTGTGAGTAGAGTTGACCTGATTCCACATCACTTTGTTTCCTCTTGGAAGAAGGCAGTTCTCTTCTTGTTGGAATTTTCCGTTTCTTTGATTCCTTGCGTAACTGAAATAATATTTTCAAAATCATACTACAGGTACTGTAATGGACACAGGGTTGGATAAAATCATGATTTTTTTAAATAAAAAAATCGATTTATTTGATTTAAATCGGATCTTTTTTATTTAAATCGTTTTTTTTATTTATTTTTTACTAATTGCATTCAAATAGTATTTTTAAACCATAAAAACAGTATTTTTCAACCAAAGCTTATTCAGGAAAATAAATAAAAAATTGGCATTAAGATATTTATGCAGTAGATGTACCAATGGAATTTAACACAATAATATTCTTTTTGTAAAATAAAAGAAAACTGGTAACATATCTCACATTTGAGTGCACAAATCCAAACGTAATAATGAAATTTAACATAAATGCTCTTATAGGATTACAGTGTTTCAAAAATGAATAACTTAACTTCTTCAAGTCAACAGAATAATATTCCCATTTTGTAAACAAAATAATACTGGTAACAAGTTTATTTTCTTACATTTGTAGGATTATAGTGTAGGGTATTAAGAATTACCGGTAATAACTTCAAGTCAACACAATATTCTCATTCTGTAAACAACAAAAATAGTTCAAAACATTTAAATTAGCTTAGTTGAACATTGAAATGCTTATGTACTGTGACAAGCTTAGATGCCTTTTCCTGTCCGAGGTGATTTCTTACCTTTGAGTGTACAAATCCGTATGTGGAAAAATTTCTCTCAACCCCTGCTGATGATGCAACAGCTGTAAATAATTGCCTAGGAACATCCATTACATTTTCTGTCATATTATTGGCAAAATACTGCCACCAAGCAAGGGGTGAGAGAGATTTTACAACATCTTTACCAAAATAGACCTCTTTAAATGGTGCACTTCTTCCATGGAAGGACATTAATGTTGAAAGGAAATGTGGAAGAGACTCGCACACATACTGTTCTGCAATGTCTCGCTGCTCAGGAGTCAGATGTCTGCCCCGATACTTTGGATCTATCACATTAGCTAGAAAATGGGCAGGTGTCAATGCTACTTTGATTCTTTTTTCAAAATTATCCATATCCTTCTTATCTGTTAGATACTCCTTAATATCCGTTTTCAGTTTTACCCAGATTTCTACAGCATCACTTAATAGGGTATGTTCTCTCTGGACACAGTCCAATGCCACAGCAATAGGCTTAAGTCTCTCTAAATAGTCTTCTGCAGTTCTTTTTAATGCCTTATCATTAACCTTCCTTTCAATTTTCTTATCAATGTCTTCACTATTTTCTTTGCACACTTTGACAAGGGTCTCCCAGTTCTTTAAATAAGATTCAATAGAATCTGTCACTGTGTTCCATCGTGTGTCTGATGGCATTACTAGCATTGTTCCTCCTGCTCTTCTATACAAAGAACCTGGGATGTGATGATTTCTGAAGTACTTAATGATTTCAGTAATGTGCTCCTTAATGTTCTTGATTTGCAGGTCTTGTGAAAGCAAATTTAACAGGTGTGCAGAGCAACCATATGTTATAATGGATTTATCTTGTCCGAATTCACTTCTCATGTTTGCCAATATTAGCAACATTATCTGTTACACAGCTTCTTACTGTGCATCCAAATTTGTCTTCACACTTTTTTGTAGCACATTCAGCTAATTTCAACAGATATTCAGCTGTGTGTCTTGATTCTGTGTCTATAGAGTCAACAAGATAAATACGGTTGTCCGCTGTTAAAGTTATACATACTATAGGCTCATTATGGACATTACTCCATCCATCCATGGCCATGCAAACTGTTTTCCTACTGAGTTCTTCTGAATAATTCTTAATCACTGAATCGTAGGCTTGATCCAAAAGAGACCCTCCAATTTGATGTCTATTAGGTGGAACATATCCTGGTCTTAGCATTTTAATCATCTTGATAAACTCTTCGTGCTCCACTGTTCGGAAGGGTGAATTTGTTGCATATATATAATTAGCAACTTGCTGAGCCAAATTGACTTTTTCAGACTTAGTAGTTTTTATCACAAAACCAGTTATGCTTCTTTGGTCCATAGAACTATCCCTCTTGTCTCTCTTAAATGGTGAGGGAGAAGGAGCATCTGATATATCTTTAACTAGAGATGATGATGAAGCTTTTGAAAGTGAGGTGCTTGGATGAGGTGATAATGTCTCTGAAGAAGTGGTTGGCTGTGGTTTGTCAGGTGCCTCATCAGTATCTGAAGATGAATAAAATAATAAATACCACTTATATGAAGTATGTGTGCAGTTTGACTGTATATAATACACTCTGGCACTGACACTTTCTATCACTCATTTATCTATCACTTTCACACTTTCTCACATATGCTCTTTATTGCTCCTGTGTAATTTATTTTATACAGTAATAGCAACATTATCTATTTCATTGTTGCAATGTAAAGTTGTGAACTACAAATTGTTTGTTATAAATGGCTATGGCCTATGAGAAGCCAACAAATTGTTTTTAATTAACAATATGACTGAGCTGGACTCTAACCCTTTACTCCCTGGGTGTTTCACCACCTTCACAGCCCTTAAACCACTGGAGGTGGTGAAACACCCAGGGTTAGAGTCCAGCTCAGTCATGATGTTTATTAAATACATACCGGTATTGTTTGTCTACTCTAAGTCTTTTAGGATGGTAAATGAGAATATGAAAACAATTCAAATATCCATTTATTTCTCTTTTCGTGTAATGGAGAGAGAAATGTCAAGGATGAATAGCTACCGTATGTCCTTGGGAGGAAGGAGGGGAGGATATGTCCAGAGGGTTGACATCATACAGTATAGTGTAGT